CTTAGTCTGAAGCCATATGTTTACACAAGAGGTGAGTTTCAACCAACCCTTCCACGCCCTCCTGAAATCCCCAGTCACCTCAAATGGCTTTAAGGGGCGAGAGTGACATACTTTCCGATACCAATGAACTCGGCCCCCGCATCAAGACCTTCCTTCCATTCCTCGAGTGGGAAGACCTTCACATCTACGAAGTTCTTGCCCCTCGGAAACAAGCCCCTTTCAAGCATCTTCATGAATAGTTCGATGTCGTCCCTCTCGTACATCAGCTTCCCCTTCAACGTAATGTTCCTAGCCAAGACCGTGGGAACCATGGGATTGTCATTCCAACCCATCATGCTGACGCGCCCGCCTCGACGCAGGGTCCAGACGGCACTTTTCACGTGGGGAGACTTGGTCGCCTGGGGCGGCGAGAAGTCGATGACGGCGTCGACCGGGCCGAAAGCTTTCAGGGCGGCGGCATCCGCCATCTCGTCCCCGGTCAGCTTCACCGTCTCGACGCTCGCGTTGGGCGTGCCTCTCAGCACGTGCTCCTTGAGCCGGGCCAGCTCCTTCTCGTTTCGGCCGTAGGCAATCACTCGAGCGCCCATGGCAATGGCAACTTGAACGGCGGCGCCGCCGTACCCGCCGGTTGCCGGGCTTACGATGACGGTCTCGCCGGGCTCAAGGCGGATGTCCCGCAGGCCGCCGAAGGGCACGAGAAGGTAGCAGATGTACATCAGCTCGTGGATGGTGTAGCCCAGAGTGCCGCACAGCCTGGGCTCGTCGAGCGGGAAGCAGTTCTCCAGGGGCGCCTTGGCATACTCGGCGAAGTACCCGTCGCGCCAGACGTCGCGGATCAGCTTCTGGCTGCCCTCGGTCATGCCCTCGTGGATGGCAGTGAGGAAGAGTGAGTCCTGCATGTATGAAAACATGTCGTATTAGAAAACATTCTACAGATATTGAAACTTTGTTAAAAGAAAAGGAGCCCCTTTGGGATATAAATCGCCGAAGAAACCTCGAGAATGCTAGGATTTTTCTTAGAAGGATACATACAGGATCGTCTCTCGCGTGGATTACGCAGTCGACGTATACTAGTTGACCGAGCTTCAGGGCCACGGAGTCGGGGCCCAGCGCGGCGATCCGTCCAATGGCGCTCAAGCCGCCGACGATGGGCTTGGGGAAATTGTACCCCCGCGCGCCGTTGTATATCTCGCGGTGGTACGAGAGCACACCGGCAGATTCAATGCGGACGATGGCATTGCCGAGACCGGGTTGTGGCGTCGGGATCTTCTTGACCTGGAAGCCCTGCCCGAGGGCCTCAAGTACGAGGGCGCGGTGCTTAGCGGGAAGGTTGGCTGCCATGGTGAAACTGGAATGTTTTTTTTAGAGATAAGGTGGAAGATTGGAAAGTTGTTGGTGATGTAGACTGATTGTGTGCTGGGGCATATACTTCCAGATCTCAGAAATCTTGCCCTTTATATATAATAGGGGTCAAGCCTGGCTTAGTCGGTGATAGTCGGTCATATTTGGAATTTCGCCGATGAGGCAGTAACCATTACACCGTTATTGGGTACAGATATATTCCACATTGACGATATTTCAAGTCGATGTCCCATGGTTCACTGTACGAATCGGATTTATAATAACTAAATCCTTGGTCTTCTCTTGATGGAGGTATCTCATGGGATCCCCACGACCCCTATTCGCTCCTCACCCTTTCCTGGTTCGTGGAGATAAGAAGGCCGGATTTAAAAGGTAGTAGTCGCTGAGATACATGCAAGGTGACTTGAGGTAGGTCATTTCCATGTTGAAGATACCAGCTTATGCCGGCTACCTTCCCTCTTCGAAACGATCACCAATGGCTCGGTAGGTAATGCTGTATCAGGAGTTCTATCTTTCCTCACAATGCATGGAATTTCTAAATAAGAACGCATCGCTATACCTGAGCATGGTGCCGATTGAACGAGTGAGCGAGCCGCGAAGCGATGAGTCTGCGAGCTATATGGCGGATCGATGTGAGGCATGTCTGGGTGCGATGTTCGATCCGGAGTTCCGGCGTTGCTGTTTATCCAAGGCGCACGGCCTCCTGGAGCTGAGCCAATCGGAGACGCTTCGTAAAACTCATGCTCGGCTTTCTTTTCTTTTCTCCGAACGACTCGAATACACCCGGAGAAAGGGCTTTGAAAGCCGACTGTCTCTTAAAACTATACTTACTGACTTCTTGATATATGATATATGATATATGTGATGCAGGTTACCAGCAATTCGCAAAAACACCACGAAGAACTTTTACACCTCGTGTATAGTATGGCTCTAAATTTCTAGGAAGTGGACGTTCAATCCGTCTGGTTTCAGAGGAAGCATGCCACCATCAATATGGCATTGTCAACTCTTCGTTAATATATTAACTCATGTTGGCAAGTTATATGTTGTGAGAGGCTATCGAATCGGTGCTGTTTCATGATTGTGTCGGGGGAATGAACGAGGACGGCAAAACCTCCGAGCTGAAAACATTAGGCAACAATTAATATCTCACCTAGATGTCACAAAAAAAAACATAAGCTATCTGCAACAGGTAAGAGTACGTGTCACCATGAACACGATAAACGGAATATGGCGATGGGGCGCCGAAAAGCGACAGGTGAGTGATCAACCCAGTTGTCACCAGTGTATTCTCTTCTTACTCGGACAGGCCCGTCATTCAGCCCAAGTGGGGACCTATAGCTATGAGAGACTTAGAGCCGATGAGGGAACATCTTATATCAGACTCCTCGAGCTCGAAGATGGCAGCAGAGGCAGCATCATCAAATGCAGGCTATTCGACGTTGATCTCAGTGCCCCGACACCGCCAAGATACGAGGCTATATCGTATTCCTGGCGAAAGGATGTTCTTCGCGGCAATCTGAACGACGACGCCGCGAAGCTCTTCCCAGACCGGTTTTCCATGTACGGGAAAGAAGAGGGGACATCCAATCCCAAACTCATCCTGTGCAATGATAAGACCTTGCACATACAGCGCAACTTGTACGATTTCCTGGTCCGACTCCGGGCTAAACAGAGACGGCTCCCGCTTTGGATTGACGCGATATGTATTGACCAGGATGAAAACAATGCAGAGGCGAGGAAGGAGAAATTCAGGCAACTCGGGATGATGGGTCGAATCTACGGCTCTGCCGAGACCGTTCTAGTATGGCTCGGAGAATCCTCGAATATCACGTCGATGCCTCCCTTCCTCAAGTCCCTCCGGGAAATCGAGCAGGTCGATATGCAGTACGAGGGTTTCCGATCCGAATACGACATCTCAAAAGTTGGAAAGAAAGGGCCTGCGTTTGCGATACTTCCACATTTACCCGGGACCACCATCGAGAGCCTCACGAGACTGCTAAACCGAGACTATTTCCAGAGGGCCTGGGTGGTGCAAGAGCTCGTGCTGGCGCGCGACCTAGTCTTCTTCGTGGGAGACATGGAGATACCGCCCAGCCAGCTCCTCAATGCGATACAGCTCATCTCAGCGTGCGGCCTGGTGCACACGTCTGCGACGGACCCAGGTCTCGTAGGCGGTGGTGGGTTCCGGGCCATGCCCCATATCCTCCAAGCCCAGCAAGACCGCCAGACCGGCCGTGCTTGGTCTTTCGATGACTTTCTCTTCCTATGTCGAGATAGACAAGCATCGAGACCTGAAGATAAGATATTCTCTCTCCTGGGTGTCATAGACGCCGAAACCAGCGGGATAAACATTGAAGACGCTGTCACGGAGGGCGGCGTGTCGCTAGATATACTTTATATGAACGTTACTAAATACTTGGCGGATCGGTATGGATGGTCCTATGTACTCTCTCTTGCGGCAGTTGGGACACCAGAGAATGGCGATTTGCCGTCATGGGTACCTGACTTCCGAACGCCCCTGTACCCTAAACCTTTTTGGTTCTACGGGTGCACTCATTTCAAAGCAGCAAATACCGTACCAGGTCATTTCTCGATACACGAGGGAAACAGGTTTCATCCAGCCACTTCTTTCTCCTGGGGTTTGGTTGTATCCGCATCGTACATCGATGAGATCGTACAAGTCGGCGAGAGCCACGCGGAACTCGACCCTGATCAATGCAAATATGCTGATGGACATTTCCTCGATCTCATTTCTAAGCTGGGAAAGAGGTATAGTCATACCGACGAGCTGACTATAGACGTCGTCATGAAGACTCTAACCGCCGACGTGTTCGGCCGTGATAACAAGATACCCATCGCGAAGCTCCGATATGCATTCACGGTCTGGCTGGAAACTGTAATCTCGAACTTGAAATTCAGCCGCGCGAAGACGAAGCCCAAGGACAAGAGATTCAACCCCACAACGAGCGGAAGGAACGCAACCATGATCCACGACTGCGGCACGATCAACAACACACAAGTGGATCTTCGAGAAGCCCTCGAAGCCGTCCTATCTGTCCACGACTCGAAGACCTATCCGATACGGGAACGGGTGAAACACTATCCGCGGGACGTCGGCATCCAAGGAGCGGAGCTGGCCGAGAGCGCAGAGGAGGAGAGGAAGCTGCTGACTCAGTTTGAGGCGTTCGCCAGCACGGAGAAATTCTGGCAGCACGTCAAGCAGCAGATCGGCGGTGTCTGGTGGGCCATCGACCAGATTCATCAGCACCGACGACTATTCCGGACGCGACAGCGCAACTTCGTCGGACTCGCGCCGCGGAACGTCAGGATAGGGGATGTTGTGTGCTTGGTCGGCGGAGCAGCTACACCCTTTGTGTTTCGGCGCAGGGACATCAACGAAGATGCCGCTGGAGACCTACTGCGTGGTGATCGCAAGAGCCATGTTAGTCTTGTGGGCAATGCTTATCTACACGGTGCCATGCAAGGCGAGTTGGTTAGGAGTGATGATGTTGACTTCGTAGATGTACTTATCTTATGAATTTTGATTCGATATATATGCCAGCACTCAAGTAATGGAGCGTTCATTGTGCTCGAGAATTGAAGAAGCGTTGCCACCAAAAAGAGTATAGAAATGTTGCAATTCCGGGGAATCGAACCCCGATCTCGAGCTTGGAAGGCCCGAATGCTAACCATTGCACCGAATTTGCTACTTGTGCTTCTGATCATGATGCCGTATGATTTTCTCCATGGTATTTACATATACGTATATTGTATGTAGGATCAGGGAGTGTAATTGAACAGTTAGTTGCCTACTTTTTGCCTGGAACTGATGTTTCCCTCCGAACTAAAAGGCAGAGTTAACCTTGTCGGAGCTACTAGGAATCATCTACCTAGGAACTAGTAGTTAGCTGAGGAAATCATGGGACAAATTTATAATTGAAGAAAACCAGATCATGATCTGTGAACCATAATATCCCTCGTTCAATCCTTTTTATACCATGAATAATAGGGTTGTTTCCAATAAGGCATTCAGTGTATCGATATTTCTAGCTTCTCCTTAATCTAAGGTTAGACGAGAACTAACCAACCAACCAAGAAAAATGGTATACGGTACCTAGCTAATTCACGTGTACACAGCATGTTGCATTTAAGTGAAGTCTCCTTGGGACACAATATAGTCCTATATGTATATTCAGCTCGGAGACAAGTGTAAGTCGTGGCTGTTTCACATTTGCTGTGAGCATCTCTGTCACGTTAGACTGAAAGAAGAGGCCTGGGGCGTGACTAATTCGACATAGATGTGGTCTGCAGATTCGATAGTGTCAACACAGTCCGATGGACAGCCTCGCTGCAGATCCGGGCTACGGGTAGTAGATAGCTTTGAAATGGTGTGAGCTACCCCAAACTGTAACGCGACTCGCCTTGACCGAGTTGGCTTGTACGAGCCTGGATGAACCGGGAATATCTGGACCGGTCAGTCTATCGGCTCGCAGACTCATGGATTAGCGTACGCTTTGGATCTGTGACATATAGCTCGGAGTCTCCAGAGGTATCACGTTATCGCATGTGAGCACTTCTGTCGACCTATCAATCAACAGTCCTCTCCCCAATTATCTCTCCAATCCCGTATTCCGGCAAGCAAAAGATGGCGTGGATTTCTGTTGTGATTCGTACGGTAGAGCTCCTGATTGGTGTCTATAGTTATGACGAACCACTACTGGTGCTAGATAAGGAACGGGTGTGACACCTCTGTCACTAATGCTAGGCGTAGTCTAGTCATGGCCACATGGGAGAGCTACATCGTACTAATGTAATGCATACATGGATGTAGCTCAGGAGTGCACTAGGAGGTGGATGGTGGTGACGACGGCTTAACGTCTTGAATAACACCTCGCAAATATTAATCTCCAACTTCGTCGTCATGGGTGAACGCTCGGTTGTTTGCGCTGCTGTGGCGACGATGGTCGATGGTCGGTACTGACTCACGATATTGGGCTTGGAACTTGGAATCCTTGTTAGACAAGCATCGGAAAGCTTGGGTTGTTATCAAGTTTTGGGAGTTGATAAGGAGGATCCTGCGAAAAGAAGGGGTGGAAAATGACCCGACTCGATTTAATGGATGTTTGATACTAATAAATAAACAAATAGGATGTTGATGCATTGGACCCTGATATTTTCATATTGCCAGAAACTTTCTTCTAGGTTAGAGTGCTCCTGATAGAGCGGCAACTTCCGGATACCTGAGGTAAGGATATGCATCATGCATGAATGTGCCAGCTGTGCGTCTAATTACATAAGTAAAGCGGGGAGTTCGCTTACCTACCTACCTAGGTAGGTACCTAAGATACAAGAAGGATGCTAACGCTAACGGTAGCCGTTGTGTTTCCCCCAATTGGCAAACAACCAACCACTGGACAGACTCACATGCCGTTGTTTCGCTGTTGTAGGTATCGGTAGCTAGGTAGTACGGTAATGGGGCACGCACCTATACCTACCTAAGACGACCCGTAAGTACTTGTACCTTCGGTACCTACTAGTAAGTAACCCCTCCGTGTGGGTTTCGTAGTACTGGGGTACCCAATAGCACTACCCCCAAATCACATACAAACCACGAACGACGAACTTCCCACCTCTTTCGACTCTCTCGCTTTCTCTTAAAACCTCCAACATCCTCACGACCCAACGATACACCCGACATTCTCAAGTCGTGCTCGGCTCAAGCGACATTTGCGCAACCAAAATGAATCCTCACCAGAAGAACAAGGTTGACGTCAAGGTCAGTTCTCCCCCTTCCCCCACGGCTATCTGTTTCTATTGGGCTGGACATTGGACACCCATATTGTATACCCAAGCAACGAGACAAAGGGCTACTACGGATGAAAATTCAGTAAATCGCCATGGTCTCTTAATTTGGCGCACTCGAGTCCAGATCTCACTCCTTTGAACTCTCCTCTAAACATTCACACCGCTACAAATCGTCTCCCGAGCAAACCTCAACTATGCTTGTAAATACTAACAGGTTATGCCATATAGTCGCTTACTCCGGAGGAGCAGCGCCTTTTTCGTTTATACGGCAAGCTCCCGTCGAAATCCGACCATTTTGCTAAGCATCTGAAGGAGCGCAAATACTTCGACAGTGGTGACTATGCTATGTCCAAGGCCGGCAAGGGCGATAGTGTCGACACTGGAAGCGTCGGTAGCCAGCACCCGGTCCCCGAGAACATCCCCCACCTCTCCTCGCCCAACGGCCAAAACGGTAGTGCCACCACGGTCGGTCATCAGCACCACCCGGGCCTACACACCCATGGTAGCCAGCAGGTAACGTCGGCCGGTAGCCCCGTCAAAGAGAGCAGCTTTCTGCACCGCGAGACCAGTGCCGACGGAACCGCCAACGTAGGCGGGGAGGAGACTAAGACTGTTTCATCCCCCGCCTCCGAGAATGCTGGTGCGACTGCTATCCCCATCCGAAGATAAGAAGATAAGAAACAAGAAAACAAGGCTTATCATTTCTAAAGGAAAGAGCTGATAATATCGAATCGAACTACGGCGGCGGCTAGGTGGCAGTCACATCACAATGAACTTTCGGCGTAGATTCCGAAGGGAAGCATTTCTTGTCAGGACCTGCAAACCCTCCCACACTCCCCTATCGATCGCAGCCTCTTTCCCGAAGTCCCCTCACACATCCAATGTTGGGGTACGGAATAGTAGCCTATGATGTACGTTGTGTCGCTGTACGTTGAGTGGTTTCGGAATTGATAGGAGGATGGAGATGGAGGCAATACGTTGTAAAAGGTGGTCAGTTCCCCTTTACCGATGTTTACGAGGGTTGCGTTTCGTTTACTTTTCCATTCCCTCCAGGCGTTCAGGGATGGCTGATATGGTATTTGGCAAGGGGTCAATTTCACACTTGCAAAATGTTACGACATAAGGCGATGTTATCATCGTTTTATCTATTCCCGGCCTCGATCTGAGACTTTCGCTAAGCACCTTTATTTTTTTTTAATCCTCGAGGATAGCCCTTCATTGTACATGCTTAGTATGACTACTCTGTTTCGCACTACGAATGGGTTTTGCCTCGTTCTGGTGTCATGGTCAGATAGCACCTTTGATAATCAATGGATTCTACCCGAGAATCAAGACTATCGTGCCATGTGAGACTGATTTGCCTCTGCTTCCTATTTTTCGGTCCATGCCGTGCTATTTACACGGTCATGTGATTTCTATGTGACCAGATAATAGACTTAGAACGCGACGGCCTTTGCTGCCATAGCTTTCGCGCCATCGAATGTCTTATTTCCTCCGATAAAACCCGATGCATGTACAAACACACCACCGGGGATACCAGAGACCTCGTCCAGCTGCTCATCACGCGCTCCCCTCCACGGCTCCGGCAGCGCCTTTCGGCTCTGGAACGAACCCTCGCTTACGGGGACAGCCTGTATCCTCCACTTGGCGCCCGGCACGGGCTTCTCCGGGTACAGCACGTAGAGCACCTTCTTGTCGGTACCCTCCTGCTCTTCTAGCGTGTACAGGTGGTCCTTCCACGGCACGGCCTGGCCTTCGAGCACCATAATACGACCCTCGGGGTCGAACTGTAGTCTCTTCTGATACGCCTCCTGCACGATGGCGCGGGCCGGCAGCCACGCCTGAGCGTAGTACTCCAGGTCCCGCGAGAACTCCTCGCCGATGCGCGTGCTAGCCGTGCCGAACTTGGCGTCCTCGGCGGCCTGGGCCTCCGCCGGGTCCGAGGGCGTCGGGTCGTTCCAGTTGGGGTTCAGCCGGCCGACCATGGCGCCGAGCGTGAAGCCGGCGTCGCTGAAGCCCTTCTCGAGGCCGGCGGCCTCCACCTTCTTGGGGTCGTAGGCCGAGATGCCGTTGTCGTGGGCGTCGAGGGCCTCGATGAACGACTCGTACAGCTTGTTCCAGAGCAGGCCCACCTCGTCGCTGTCCTCGGGTTTCTTGAGGTGCTGGGCGACGATGGCGCGGCCGAAGTGCAGGAACACGAGCCCCGCGCTCGACAGCTTGGTAGGGCGCCCGGGGAACGTGGTGCCGAAGGTGCGCTGGTGGTGGTCGTACCGGTGCCGCGAGGCGTCGTACTCGCCGCCCACGTCGACGACGGTGTGGCAGGTCTCCAGCACGGCCGGGTCCCGCGTGCGCACCAGCGAGCTGCCGGTGTACGTCGGCAGCAGCCGCAGCATGTAGACGGCCAGGGCCTCGTCGGCGTGGAAGTGGCCGTTGTGGGTGCCGATCTTGACGCCGCTGTCGGCGGTCTTTAGTCTCTTCGCTGCGTTCTCAGCCATCTTGATTGCCTGACGGAACATGCAATTTTCGAATCTCAGGTAAGTTAACGAACGAGTTACGTTTATACTGTGAACCTTAGACAGACTTAGTAAAGTCCAATGGGAAATACTTGGACGGAAAGCTGATGGTGGGGCAAGCTTGGATGGGCTGGATGGGTTGGAAGATTGACTTATTAGGTTAGGCCGTAGTGTATTATCGATAGCTCGGGGAGTGGGAATGGCTTCCTACACGGTGTGGTTTTAGTGGTTGCCCAAGGTAAAAGAACGCCAGAACGCCCTAGGAAGCCCCGGGGATGTCGCATTTAGAAAAGCGAAGTGAACGCGTGTTGTTTGTTAGGAAGAATGATGCGCGGCTTCTAGGATGCAAAGGACGCAAAGGACGCAATTCATTTACCTAACGTACCTAA